GACATCTGACTAGAAAAAAAAAGAAACAATGGAATCCAGCATGCACAGGGAGGATGACGGAAACCAACTCCCTGTATGCAAAGTTAGTAAGAAATTCTGTGTGTAAAGGCTCACCGCCTTTTTTGCAGCATTACATCTGCATCTCACCAATATATTTACATGCTGGGCTCTGCTTGGCTACAATCATTGTCCGATCTGCCCATATCCTTGAGAGAAGATGGATTGCTACGTAAGCGAAGCTGCTGACTCTCACACAACCACAATCTGCATCTGTAGCTACACAGCATGCATGTCGCATTCACTTTGGTGCATTTATGCCTTTGAAAATAACCATTCCAGCTCCTACTATGCCTAAATGTATATATAAATGCACTCCCATCTGTCTCTGACATCTCTCTGAAACAGCTTTTCCTGGTTGCTGCCCTTTGGTTTCCTAGTAAAGTGTGGTTTTGTGCATGTTTTCACAGAGAGGTAATTACTGAGCAAGCTATGCTGACAACACCTGAGGAATGCAGAGCATGCACCAGCAGCCTGTGTTCTCATAACCCCCCATCTCTCACTTCTCCCCCTTTCTGCAACCCTCCCCCATTGAGCCCACCAGCAAGAACCCCAGTCCAACACAGGGTTCAAGATGACATTTTCACAGGAGTCTTAGGTCAGTAGATGTTGCAGATGTAGTTTTATGAAGAATTAAGGTTGTTTTTACCAGGAAACATACTTCAACACTAACCTATTCCAACTGCTTGATCAACAAAATTCTATTAAATGTAATCATTTTTTTTCCCTGTCAGCAGAGGAAACTCTATCCCCAAACCCCCCAGCTTCCAGCAGGCCCCACTATTCCCGTTACTGGTGAACTCACAGTGTGTGTTGGCTGGCTCGGGCACTCTGCTCAGTGAGTCACTCCCCAAACTGTCCTTGAGCTCACTGGAACTCACAGCCCATCTGGCTGAACACTTGCACACACATATCAAAACATTGCATAGATTTAAACAGGGGGCGTGAGCAATGCAGGGCGACCTAATTGCGGTCTGAAAAAGGTCCAAAAGCGTCAATATCTGGTTGGAGAGAATGATGAGTACGTGGAAGATGTTACTTTTATGCAAATGCAACGGATGCATCAAGTTTTGACATCATGTGCATGCATGCGTTTGGGAGGAAGCAACAGAGAGGGAGAGAGGGAGAGATTATGAATTCAGCTGAGCCTCTCCCGTCTGTCTGACTAGACCGTCATGATGAAATCTGGATGAAATCCCTTGTGCATGTAGATCAACATAAGTATACGGGCTCTGTCCTCTGGATTCTGTAGTTGTGGATGCATTATGCAAATACCATAACGGGAAAGAACGCACTATATGACTGAGTGAACAATTGCATATGTTTTCTACACACTTGAGGGCTAATCAGTCAGGGTACAGCAGACACAGCACAAGAGGAAGGGGATTTAGTTACCAAGCAACTTCTGTTGATACAAACATCTTTCTGTTCATATGTTGAGTTAACAGCTATGAAAAGCGGGGTAGCTGATAAAAATCACAAAGGGATGTTTAAAAAAGTTTGTTCTTACTTAGACTGTTATTGTCGAGTTATTTTTTATTTGAATCAGATCCAGAAACATGGAAGGAGTTTGAGCTCCAGTTGTATCACAAATAAGTAAAATACAATGACGTTAAAAAAAAAAGCAGGTACATTTTCAGGAAAGTATTCCTTTAAGGTTTTTACTGACAAATCCTCAACTAACTTACATTACTCCTACTTTTACTTTCACGATTGGCTTCCTGTTGTCATAGAGGTTACCACAGCAAGAGGTCATTTTCTGATTGCAATGACAGATATTAACCTAAGTGTGATCTGAGGGATTGCTCTGTGACCACAGAGAACTCATTTGACGTGTGTAAAAGGTTAAACTTTTTTCACTATTATATCTATTTTATTCTTTGAATTCAATAATATTGTCTTTAACTTATTTAGCATTTAATTTATTTATTGTTTCGTACAAAACAACTTATTGTGGGGCTGCAAGGTGGCTCAGTGGTTAGTACCGTCGCCTCGCAGCAAGATGGTCGCTGGTGAGGACACCCGGGATCTTTCTGCGTGGAGTTTGCATGTTCTCCCCGTGCAGCGTGGGTTCTCTCCGGGTTCTCCGGCTTCCTCCCACACAGTCCAAAAACATGTTGAGGTTAATTGGTGATTCTAAATTGTCCGTAGCTGTGAATGTGAGTGTGCTTGGTTGTCTGTCTCTAAGTGTAGCCCTGTGATAGACTGGTGACCTGTCCAGGGTGTCCCCTGCCTTCACCCTGAGTCAGCTGGGATAGACTCCAGCCCTCCGCAACCCTATTGAGGATTAAGCAGTGTATAGATCATGGATGGATGGACAACATATTTCAGCGATTGTGTTTCTTTTCCCTGACAGCATTCATATAACCTGGACAAACATTAACCTTTGTGAAGACACACATCACACAAGGTCAATTTTAATTTCACTTTGGAGCTAAACTTGAGTGAATGAATGAAGGCTGTCGCAACCAAAAGACTTGGAACTATACTGAACAAATATATATATATAAACACAGCATGCAATGGTCTTCTTTTCTGATTTTAAACGGGATTAAATTTGGCCAGTTGTGCACCAAATGTTTTTTGAGCTGCTCAACTGGTGACAAATTCTCATCCGTTGAGTTCAATCAAGGACAATGATCAGATAACCTGACCAGTACACAGACACTCTTTTGACCAGTGTCTATAAAAGTCTGCGTTTAAATTCAGCTTAATTCAAATGACATGATGTCCCAGATGTCAAGAGAAAGACGAGAACCAGCTGTTCCAGACAGCTCTGCATGAATGTGATCCAGTCCTCTTAAATGTCCACCAACTTCACCGAGCCCTTCAGGAATAGTGACGAAACATTCCACAGGCAGCATCAACAACCTCATTAACTCTATGCAATAAACATGCAAATGGCTGACATGCTGTGTTGTGATTTCTTTTCTATGATCTACTGCCTATTGCTGTTTCCAGTATAGTGCAATCTTGGTTGTTTCATAATGTCTTTTCTGTTGTAGAGATGCCATGTGTTGGACCAACCGTATGTTAAAAAGAATGGACATAGCTTTGTTCAGTGTACATAAAACAGTCAGTCTTTGCAACTGTAAGGTTTTCAAAAAGAAAGAAAAAATAATTCACTTTTTTTATGGAAAAATCAATCAAGCATGGATAATTAAATACATAATAGTCACAATATACCTTCTACATCTAGGACATACTGGTCTTTCAACAAAAATGAACAGAACGTTGCAGATACGTTTTAAACATCTGCTGCATCGGATGTTATGCCTTTACTTGCAGGCGACTTCATGAAGGATTTTAGAAAGGAAAACGTTTTTTTTTTAAGTTCTTCAAAATCTATTTTTGGAACAGAAAAAGTTATACCAGGTCACAGTGAGTCACTTCCCACTCAGGAAATATTAGGAAAGGTTAATTCCTGCTCTTCTTCTGATGCCTTTTGACTTGATGTTCATTTAGTTTGACACTGGTTGCTAGAAAACACTGGCTGAAATGCTGCAAAGACTGGAATCTATATTTTTAAAGCCCACTTTAGTCAGACCTTGCAGCGCGCATACAGTTCTATCCATTACAGATCTGTGGCACTAAATATGAAAACGGTGGACTTTTTTTTTTTTCCAATGTTAATCTGCGTACTTGGTTGTTTCATGGTGTTCATTCTGTTGTAGAGAAGCTGTGTGTTGGACCAACAAATGCTTGTCCCCCTGCCTAAAAGGAATGGATATATTGTTGTTCAGTATATATAAAAACAAAATCATTTTTAATTATCCAGTATGGAACAGTCAATGAAGCTTGGATGACTCAAAACAAAAATTAACAAAATATTGCAGATACGTTTTACTGCACATATCCTGAATTTACTTGCACGCTGCTTCATGGCGGATTTTAAAATTCTTGAGTATTTATTTTTGGTACATTAAAAGTTATTCCAGGTCACAGTGAGTCACTCCATTCTGTTGTAGCACAACCTTGTGCTGGAACAACAAATGCTTATTCCCCTATGTTAACAATATTTGACATATTTTTGTGCACTTTATATTTAAAAAACCAGCTTTTAAACTGCAGTGATGGCGCTTTAAGTTGAAACTTCACAGAACAATCAGTCAAGCTTGGATGATGCAATACACAATAGTTTATTGAAATCTCTATTTCACTATTTATAGTCGTCCTCAAATGTATTCAGACCCTTCCATTAAAGAAAAGGCAAAATTCACAATCGTCATTGAAATAACTAGAAACTGCAAAAAGTAATAATAAACAAAATTTTGCTAAATTATAATTTAGTGAAATAAGACGTTGCTGTTGAATTGTGGTTGAAAAGAATAATTAAAAAAACAAACAAAACTGTCCCAGACAAATTAGAGCACTTTGCTGATGAGCAGTGGGTCAGAATACCTGTCAACAGGTGCAGAAGTCTGATTGAGAGTTACAGAAAACACTTGATTAGAGTGATTGGCTCAAAGGGTTGTTCAACAATATATTAGTTTAGGGGTCCTATCATGCTTATTTTCTTTGTTGTTGTTGTTGTTTTTCCCAATATTTCTGTTCAACCACAATTCAAAAGCAATGTCATGATTGTCATCAAATGTACAGTTTATTATTACTTTTGTCAATTTCAACTTAATTCAGTGACATCTGGGGTTTTTTGTTGTTGTTGTTGTTGTTGTTTTTTCTTATTTAATGGGAGGGTATGAATACATTTCAGGACTCATTAACACTGTGCTGCCTTGACAAAAATGAACAAAAAGTTGAACATCTATTACAACAGGCATCATAATTTACTCGCAGGTTGCTTCATGGAGGATTCCGGGATGGAAAACAGTTTTGAATAATCTATTTTTGGTACATGAAAAGTCACACCAGGTCACAGTGAATCACTCAGGAAATAGTTGGAAAAGGTCTATTCCTCTTTCTTCTTGATGCTCATTTAGTTTGACACTGGCTGGAATGTTGGATGAATCTATTTTCTTGTTTAAAGCTCACTTTGCAGACTTTGCAGTGCAGATCATCAGTCACACATCTGGATGACTGGCAACCTGCACACTTGTCAGGTGTTGAGGTAAGTTAGAACGTGTTGCCGTCGACATGACACGGTGAGATGCAGCCAGATAGGAGCTGTGTGAGCGTACAGGATCGGAGCAGAGAGACTTCCAGCCTCCACCGCTGCTCCCCGCTCAGTCTCCGAGGCTGACGTCAGCTGGCTGCTCGGCTCTCCGCTCCTCCGGACACAGCGCCGCGGAAGGGAAGGGAAAAAAAAAATGCTGCTCTCCGTGCCGCCAAGGACAGGAATCAACCCGTACAACGGCTACACAGGCAAACACAACAAGAAGGTAAATAACCACACTTTCTATCTCTTTTCTTTTTTCCCCCTCTGATTCAGTGGTTTCTTTAACGCGCCGTGTCGTTTGGAGCTCTCCGCCGGTTCGGAGCCTGTTTTAAGCTGCAGTGTCCTTGAAAGTGGATCACAGGCGACGTTTGGTTTTTTAAAGAAACTCAGCTGTTGCAACCTTTTTTTTTTTAGTTTGTTGTTTCTTTGCTCTAAACTACAACCAGGGGGGGCCTTGTTGCCAGCGGATTACAGTTTGCTTTCGTTTGTTCCGACACGGTCGCTGCTCTCTTCCTCCACCGAGCCTGCACGCACCAACAGCTCGCACATTTTCGCTGTGGGAGCGCGTAATGCTCCGAATAAGCCCCCAAAAGCTCACTAGATGTCGACTTTTTAACATGATTTCTCAGGGGGGTTTAATCAGTGTTTTCAATGAATCAACTACAAGTTACCAAAGTTTTTTTTTTGTTTTTTTTTTCCTCTTTTACGCGTACCAATATGCCCCACCCCTTCAGTCTTACTAATGATTACAGAGAGGGTTTGCATGGCACTGTATGGAAGAGGAAAGTTACAGAGCTCATGCATGCAGTTGAAATAATTGGAGGGCAAAATGACACAAAGCTGTACTTCCTATGGAGCTTCTGTGTGATCCAATATTGATTAGTGAAATGAATAATTCATGGGGTGACATTGTGATCTACTTTTTTTTTTTCTTTCCCCCTCCCTGTGCAGACTATTTAGATGTTCCTCCAGGCACATAATGGTCATGGGATTGTTTGAGCATTTTAAGCAAGTTGTTTGGTTTTCATCCCCCAAAATGGGTCAATCAATGTGTTTAAAATACATATAATGTTGACATCTGGCTAAAACAGCTGAAATCCAACACAATCCCTCCTTCCCCGTGTCATTCCCGTCCCCCTCTTGCCCTCACGACTGGAAGGAATTCAGATTGCTCAGATTAATGACCTGGAATTCCTGGAATCCTGGATTCAGACAATGTGCTCACTTCAAGAAGGGAGCTCTACAAAACTTCAACTTTTTTTTTTACTTGAAAGAAGACATGCACCTTTTATTTTTCTTTAACATTTCACATTGTTGGCACGCTAGAGTCACACAGAGGGGAGACTTGTAAACCCAAGCGTCAAGAGGTAACCCCTGGTCTGTGTCATTTACTACGAGGAAAAAGGGCGGAGAAAAGAAAAGGATTAAGAGACATCCCCCCCTCTCCCCTCCTCTCCTTTTCCTCTGCTTTAGATTAACTCCCCGTCTTTTTTCATTCTCCCTTGTGTGTTTCACATACCTTAATTTCTGTTGAGGGCAGACTGTTTCTTAAGTATTGAGATGAAGCTGGATTGAGTCAGGAGATACAACAGCGAGGAGATCTCACCTCTGAGCCACGGGACATCAAGGCTTTTCATCACTTTTTCTTATTTGGGTCTTCCCACCTTTTACAGTTTTTCTTGCCTTCTTTTTGCCCGCAGCTGCAGACATTTAATATAAAGAGATTAGACTATGATCTTTTCCACTGTGCCTTTTAAGGTTTCTTTAACCAAGCAGGTAGGACTCCATATTTAAGATATTTCTCTCGACTATAGAATATAGAATATTACCACATATTTGTAAAACATCTAACTGTTGCATGGCATAAAGGTTGACTGCTTTGTTTATGACTCTGACAGTTTACTTGTGCATTATTGTAATGCTACTTTATGGTAATTTCATGCATCATTATATTTGTAATGGTGTGCAAAATATTTTACTTTGGAACAACTTCGTAGAAATCAGAAAAGCCAACTAAACGGGATGATATCAGATTTGCAAGGTTTTTCCAACATACTGCGCTAAAAATGTATAGTGCCAGAGAGTTGCAGCATTCAAGCATCCATCAGGCTCTTCTCCCTGCAACTACATAAGAGTTTAAGCCATACATCCTGCCCCATGCAGCACTCATTGTTCTTTCTCGGATGAAAAAGTCCTTGAGTCACCTGCACTCCCTACAGGCATCACCTATGCTCCTTCCAACTGTAATCACCTCATCAGTCTTAAGCTGCTGCCCGGAGCACACTTCCGCTCTCTGCACCATGCCGTACACCACTTGATGTAGTTATCCTTCTTGCATAACTACAGCATGAACAAAAAGAGCTGATTTATCTCTCTGCAGCTATAACTGATAGCAGTGGATATGCGAGGACTGCATACATTTCCAGGTTCTCTGTCCAGAGAGGCTGAAAGCGGCAGTTGTGTAAAGGCAGAAAGGATGAATTTGTTATCAAGGTTTGAAGAAGAAAAAAAAAGTTTGTGCACCAGGTATAAATTAGTGTGTGATGTACATTTCTTGGATGTCATAGAGCGGATTCCCACAGAACTGCGATGTCTCAGGTTCAATTTAATGAACTCTAATCTTGAATCCAACACATGTCCCCCAACATCCCAACAGAGGAGAAACACAAACGTTTGTGCGTTGCAGAGGAATGTAAAGAATGCTCCGAGATGTTATGGATGTTAGGAGTTGTGTAAACAGATACTGATGCAAGGGGCTGTGGACTGAAGAGTAGGAAGGAAATCCTGCCAGGAGGTCAGATTTGGAGCACAAATTAATTCAGTGAACATGCAGTCTTTTTGTGATTATTTGTGATCCCCAGCCATGTACATTTAAGACCTTGTCTTTCTTCTGCATGCACATTATCTTGTATTTGCACCAATACATTGGACATTACCTTACATGGGTGCCTAAACACCTGGAGCTGGCGCGAGGGCAGATGGGGAGGGGGGCATTGAGCTTCCACACTGCCATCCTTTTCTCAGAAGAAGCCTAGCAGAGCGGTCTTAATGAGACACTACCTTCTGACTGGAGAGCACATGAGAGGGATTAGCACTTTCCGCTAACAAGCTCAGATCCCAATTAGACAGGCCTCACTAGCCAGGCCCGGGCCCAGACTCGGTCTCCCGTCAGTTCCTATCTCCCCGAGCCGCTGCAGGTGCATCCCTCCTGATAGTCAGCGCGGGCCGCCTACGGTGAAGGCAAGGGGAAAGCGCAGGAAGAGGCCGCGATTGTGGAGAAACAAACAGCGTACTATTGATGTTAAAGACGAGAAAGAGATTAGAGAAGCTGACTTCGATGAATGGGCTCAGTGAGTCAGTGTGATTTTCTCAGCTTGACTAAAAAGACAGCCTTCTGAGGGTTGATTCCACATCAGTTTGGGAAGCGTAAGGCAACTGGGTGGTGAGGATACAAAAAAAGCTTGCAAAATAATCACTGGCGTCGCTACTCGTGTCAGTAGTGGGAATGATGTTGCTGTTATACACGTTATACAATGAATCTGTAATAAAAGATAACAGGTCAGAATACACTTTCAGCCGTAAGGCAGAATGGATTTTTTACGACGGAAAACTAGTTTCATTTTTCACATATAATTATTGTCACGCCTGCCTTGCTTGCATCAATAATAATGTGTAATATTGTATCAGCTTGACTAAAGATCTAGGTTTACAATTCATTCTGTCTTGTGCAGAGGAAACACAAATAAACCACATACCTTGTTATCATGGATGCAATATAATCACTCTGTAAAAACTCCATCCATCCATTATCTATACACCGCTTAATCCTCACTTCACTAGGGTCGTGGAGAGCTGGAGTCTATCCCAGCCGACTTAGGGTGAAGATGGGTGACACCCTGGACAGGTCACCAGTCCATCACAGGGCCACACTTAGAGACAGACAACCAAGCACACTCACATTCACACCTACGGACAATTTAGAATCACCAATTAACCTCAACATGTTTTTGGACTGTGTGGGAGGAAGCCGGAGAACCTGGAGAGAACCCACGCTGCACGGGGAGAACATGCAAACTCCACACAGAAAGATCCCGATGCCTGCATTTCGTAAAATAAACAAAAATATAATGTAGTTGCTTTGTTTCCATACCTTGTTGCGTTTTGTTTTTTTTTTTTGAAACATTTTTTTTAACGAAGGAAGTGTTGAACTTCTTTGTTGACTGATGTGATGTGTGATCAATCAAAACGCGTATCGTTGGAGGTGATTGGAGTGCAAATGATTGGTTGATCTTTTCTATCTTTGGTCCTGCCCGGACATAGTTTGACTGTTTTTGAGCCCAGCTTTGCATCTCACATTTGCGGTCTTTGATAAAAGCCCTAAAAGATCATCTCTATGTATCAAAAAATGGTTACTTAGAAGTAGTTTATTATTATTATTATTATTATTTTAACACGAAAACAATTCTATTCCTTCCACCTCTACACTACTTGCTTTAGCTCACCTACGACACTGCTAAACAGCTTTAAAACTACTCTTTGCTACACAATTTCAAGTTGTGTTGTTTGAGTAATTCAGTCATACACGTTTGAACCGGAAACCAATTCTGAATACGACCAGCGATTTGGAGATCCTGCCCTGCAACCTGACAGGATTGGTTCCTTTGGTTTGTTATGTCTGAAACCTTAGAATTCCAAATCTGTATATTTGAGACTGTCATCAGTACGCTGCAGCGTCACAGTTTAAATGCTCAGCCATGGCGTAGGACGCTTTTTCAGTTCACGACAAGTCTTCCAGCATATAGAAAGCACCCATAAGGATAGGTTAACTTGATTTTCACCTCAAGAGGGTCTTAAAGCTTTCAAGTCAGATTTATCACCCTTCTAACCACAGATTAAAGCTTGCATTTAAACCACCTAGCATTTGTAAACTGTTAGTTGGTTCACAGCAAACAGAAATGGACAGGTCATAATTAGCTTGATTCCAGCTCTCTTTATCCCTCTTTGTTAATAAGCTGATGGCCCTGTGATGACCTTGTGGTGTCCAACAAAGCATTAGGGGTGGATGGATTGATCTGCAGACTCACGATGACACCGGTTTTTTTTTGTAGTATGACACTGGTGTTGGTAGAATCTTTTTTTTTTTTTGTAAATCATACATCAATCGCTAGATCACAACCTGGACAGATGAAGACTCTTCTTAGTGCTGTAGTATTGACATCTCTGCTGCTGCATTCGCTATAACAGACATTTGTCATTTCTTCTAAACTGTCTTGTGTTTCAACGTGCCTGTGGTTATGCTGGGCAATTGTTCGGAAAATTGTTCAGTGGTAATACACATATATTCAGAAGTAGCAAATAAACATTACATTCTCTTCATAAGTCATGACATTTCTCTATATTCCATTAGCTGCCCTGTTGGTTACTTGGCAATGGATTAAGACCAAATTTTGTGGAATTGCTTGCCAGTAAAAGCAATCCCATTGTTCCCTGTGACCTGACCTTGTGAACCCAACAAATCAAACGGTTCCTCCTCCGGCACTGAGAGGGAGGCAGGACTAAGGTCAAACGCTGCTGACATTTTGCCTCCATACCAATTTGATTTGGTCTGTAATGACTGAGCTTAGTCTCTGCGTCCAGTTCCTCTCATACGACAAAAGCAGTACACACTGGCAAACCCAAACCCGCTGATCGTGACAACTGTGACAAGGATATGTGTCATTAATACTTACATTAAGTATATGGTCTCTTAATAATTCAGTTCATTAACATCTATAAAAAAAAAAAAGCAATATCCAGCCATGCAGCTAATTAAGGTTTTGAGATTTCTCCCAAGACAATAGCGCTGGATGGAATTTTCTTTGTCCTGATCAAGACACTGAAAAATTCAATTATAGAAAGGCCAATTTAAAAGTTTCTCTCCAGAAACAATTTCCTGTTTACTTTGGATAAGCCACAGACCTCACCGTGAACAGTTTTGACTAGAATTATGAAATCGCTTCATCTTCAACCCATAACATTCAAGCCTCCCTTGCATTAGTGTGGAGTTCAGCCATGTGATTTCCATCCAGGTTTACGATTTCATAATTTGTTTTTGCATTTATAAAAATCCCTCACTTCACAAGACAGGCAAAGCGTAGTACACCTCGTTTTACATTTTGCATGTCGGCAAAAACTAGCATTTCTCTGAAGTGCTTTTCTGTTCAAAAGCCCGTCTGTTTGAACGTCATATTTAAATATATAATGGCAAAGCTTATGTTTCAATATTTACAGTGAAAGCAACAGGTGCGGTATATTGTGTGCATCAGATATACAGTGCAGAGTATCAGTGTTCACAAATGGATGTATAATATGTTTACGGACAACAACATTACACTAGATAGGGCAAAGTCAATATTGCCACAAAACAGTTTAAAAATTCTTGCAAACAAGGAAATATATTCTGAAATATGTGTATTTCTCCCCAGTGACATCGAGACCTGTTGTATTGTCGCCTTAATGAAAGAGTCAATCACAGCTATACTTATAGCGTTGTGAAATATGTCATCGCTGATGAAAGACACCGCTGAATGTTGCACTTGAAGACTGGATCACCATTTATTTGATCCTCTGCCCAGGCGGCATACTGTACATTAGAGAAGCTGAATTGCTTCTCGCTGCTTGGGGAGACCACTGCTGTTGATAAATTTAGCTATAAATGTTTGACGTATCTGTGTAACCTTGTAGCGTGTGATTTTTAAGATTTTCACACTGCTGAAGGGCACATTCAGAGCCTGTGGTGTCTACGTATCACAGTCATATGCAAAAATATGTTCTGTAGTGTGACATTTATGATGAATATGTGCATGTTTTTGCACATTCTGCTCACTGTGCATGCTACAATCTCACATTGTTCTGTCTCGTGTTTCTCTTTGTATGTATAGTAGGGTTAGGGTTAGTTGTCTTTTGTAAATGTCTGTATTAAATCACTCAGTTGCCTTTTACACATGAAAAATGTTAAACTTCATATCCATCGTTTATGTCGTCCATCTCATCTCATCCCACCTGACCTTTCAAGTGAGATTAAGCATCACCTGGCTGCTGATATCCTGGCTCTAGCTCTCTGATTGGATTGCTGTGTCATATCCAGCTAGCTCCCACATCAGCGTACATATCCAATTTCATGTACCTTCAAGAGTATTTGCCTTGTGTAAGACTACACCATTTCAAATCTGACCGTGCCCTGCGTTTGTTCCGCAGCAGACATATGTGTCCCCCTCCAACCATCAGATGGCTCCACCAAGCCCCAACAGCAACAACAACAGCAACACCACCACCATCAGCAACGGCAGCAGCGGCGGCAGCAGCAGTGGGGGAGAGCAGCTGAGCAAAACCAACCTTTACATCCGTGGCCTCCATCCAGGAACCACAGACCAGGATCTGGTCAAACTCTGTCAGCCGTAAGTCACCCAAAAAACCAATTGCTTCAACGTCTGCTCGAGCACCCAATAAATCTCAATCTGCTGCCAGCGTGAGCCCAGTTAGAGGAGCCGAGCAGATTACAATAGAACAGGGTGATGTGTGATGACTTGCTGGCTGAAATTCCGAATGGTTTGCAAACCTACAAGAGCAAATACTGTGGAGGGATTGCTTGCTTACACTCTCATTGCATATGTACGCTAAAGCTCACCTTATTAGGTATTTCTGTACCATAGAAGATAGCCAGATGTTCATTTGCAAATTTGTAGGACTCATCATGTAATGGCTTTATGGAAAAACTAAAAGCTTTCAGTTTGGCACAGCTAAGCACAGACTTTCCAGGAACTAGGTACAGCATGTTTAGTCTCTCCTTCTCATGCTAATTCCTCTTGTGTGTCTCTTCTTGCTCAAACATTGAACCCTTATGAGTTATTGTTCCTCTGTGCTTTAGCCTTTTTCATAATACAGTTTGACGGCAATGACGCTCCAACGAAATTTGAAGTTATGCGTAAATACCGCTCGATGCTGCTCATCAGCGTGAGTGTGAGCCTTTGAAAGCTCCGTTGCGGTGAGCATGTAGTCAGACATCAAACACCAGCATCATCCAATCCATCTGATATGTTTGTTAGGCCCTTCACTGGAAGACATCAAAACACGTAGGGCTGAGATGAATGATCTGCTTTTACTTAATTGAATTCTGGAGCCTGGTGATGAGAACCAGAAGAGCAAGGAGGAGAGGAGTGAGAGAAAAGGAGGGAAAAAGGGGGCTTGAGAGATTGAATAAGGGAGAGAGAGAGGGAGGGAGAGAGGGAGGGAGGGAGGGTGAGGCCTGCTATTTTACAGCTGTCTGGAAGATATGGCTCACATGAGGCTGCCCAACCCTACAGGAAACGGCGAGCCCAGGGGAAAGGGAAAGACAAACAAGGGCAATGGCATGGGGGAGCGGGGGGAGGATGGAGAGAGTCAAGAGGGGGAGGAGTGAATGGAGTTCAGGGTTTGTGTGTCAGGTGGTGTTCTGTGGGGGTAGTTCTCATATTTCTGCTTTTACAGAGCAGATAAAATCCCTGCATGAAATTTGCCTTTTCGCAGAGCACATTAAGGCCAATGTAATTGTCAGTTAAACTGGACTCAGAGAGGATATTGTGTCCGATAATAGCTAATAGGAAACAAGCTTGCAAGATGAAGATGCAAAGCCGCGGGAAGACAACTTTGACTTACTCAAGTTTTAACAGTAAAAGTGCGCTTACTATCAAGACATGGCACTCCCAGAGCTCCCCTCCCCCACACCCGAGAGTTATTGTAAGCAAGCTCTGAGATGTACGGAGTGAGGGATGAGAGAGGAGGGGATGGGGGGTTGGTTCTCCATCTCTGGCCCCTGCAGTTGTCTCCCTGGGTGCCTTGCTGCCGCTCCGGTTCTTGCCCTGGTCCGTCTCTGGTGGTTGGCCATGGATGGACATTGGGCTGGACTTTCTCACACATGGCTGAGTCTCCAGCCCCTCTTTTCACTCTGCATCACGAAGACCGAGACCTCTGAGCACAATTCAGTGACTCTGCCGCGTAAGCAAGCAAGTGTGCAGCAAGCAGAGCTCAGTACTTAAGTACCAGTTATCATGTGAAGTAATAGGCTGCTTGTAATTGCCGCCTGTCCACAGTAATAGTTCAAGCAAATATAAGAAGGCAATGCTGGCGTATGTACGGAGACCAGTTGGTAGCATCTTATGGCTAAGAATGAGAAACGCACCATGAAATAGTAATGTTACATAGGAGGTCAAATGCATTATACAAAAGACCTCCAGCTAACCAACACTGGATGGGGGTTGGAGAAAATTTAGATAGAGTAAGTGTTGCGGAGGCTACAACATGATGAACACATTTGGTCGGGATCGTTGCTTCTTGGTCTTCCTTTATTGTGCACAAGAGAAATCACTGTACAGGAGAACTGCAGATTAAGGTCTGAAGCTTGGTCATGATGTGCATTCTCACGTAGGCATAGACAGGATAATCCTAACGTAGCATGAGGGTGTGTGACTAGAGATATCTGTCTGAAATGAACAAAGACCGATGTTAGATCCTAGAAAATGGAAGAAGAGGAGAGCAAAGTCGAGGCACAAAACATCCTGCAGCTGCCAGTTATCAGAAATACCTTACTGCCAAGCAGGGAAGCAGAGGTCACAGCACCTTCACTGTGGGGAACCTTGTGGCCTAAGAATGACCTCTTGAGCTAAAACACTGGGTTACACAAAGACACCATAGGCATATGCATACATTTTGCAAATCAAGTTACTATCAGGTTATATCAAGACAATAAATGTCCATTACAGTAAATGAATGTGTCTCTGTTAGTTTTAGCCATGGTTCAATAATAGGATTTTGGCTACAATCCTAACATGCTTTTCAGTCGGGTATAAAGACAAGCTAATGACTGGAGAATGAAGCTGAACAAGATCTCGGATGCTGTAAGCAGCCTTTGATTAAAAATCCGTTTTAAATTGGTTCTTAAAGCCCTCTGTAGACTGGCATAATTAAACAGCAAGCTGGAGTACACTTCATAATGTGAACTTAAGTGGATAATAGTATTTTAGTATCAATTATTTAGGTCCTCTTGCATCATTTTGCATTAAGATAAGTGTGTAGTCAATACTTCAGCATTTCTACATATATTTTGTGTATAGAGTGTATACAGGAACCATATACTACTGCATAGTAGTACAACATACTGTTGTAATGTCCAAATCAACAGAATGCGTCAATATTCCAGTTAAATTATCAGTTAAATATTGTCACAGATAACCTTAAGCTGTTTTTTAAAAAATGCATAGAAATAATTAACAGACCTTATCTAAAGGGAAATTCAACTTAGAAGAACCTATTTCATTTTCAGTTTGGAGCAGTAGAACAGATGGACAAATCTGGCAGGTCATCTCTCAACCCTTATTAGCGAACTGTATTTTGAAAGTGACTTCTCCAGGCCAGATAAAAATGAGGCAGTGATGCAGTGTCACTGGATGTAAAGTGGATCTCACTGTGGAGGGCACTAAGACCCAGTGGAGGGCAGAAGGCTGCCTAGAGAGAAGCTGGTTAGTAGAATGAGAGTGTGGCTGGGAGCCAGCATTGGACAGGACAGCCAAGGAGAGGCATATCAGATTACACTGCATGCACATGCCTGGAGAGATGGGAACTGATAGATACTGCTGCACAGAAGCATTCGCCCAAGCCATGCATTATCCCATGCATCTGCAGTATCTACGCAGCTGTAGATAATGCAGGATTTTTCGTATTGATAGTGCATTGTGAAGCAACCTGAAAATGCAGCAGAGACAATAATTCTTACCAAATTGTCACATCATGTTTCCCCCTGAGGTATGATCCCTATTGACATGTGTGTGTGCTGCAATGAAAAAGATATGGGAAATCTATAGTTCTTTCTAGCATGCAGAAAACAAAGGACATTACTCTAATTTCATTTAATATACCCCCCCTCCTCCCCCTTTTAAAGATTTCCCTATACATATAATTTATTATCAGATGGCATAATTGTATTCAGTGTCACTGCACTGAATGTGTCAGGTGAATGATAATTCAGTCATCATGCACCACCGTGTGTACTAAGTTTAGAGACAAACTGCATTGCCTCACCATGTAGTACTTAGAACAAGTACTTATTTTCAATATAGAGAGCCTTGAATGTAAACATCCCTTTTTATTCTTTTTTGCAGGTATGGGAAAATAGTGTCCACCAAGGCCATCTTGGACAAGACTACCAACAAATGCAAAGGTGAGACATGAAGGCATAAATAACCATTGAGCGGGCTGAGGCTGAAAGATCAGTTTATACAGAAAAACGTCAGGCTGTCATGTTTATGCTGAATTTTAAACAGGAGCTTAAATTGGAAAAATGCCTGTTGTATGAGAGCCAGCGTTACACACAGGCCATTTTCAGGTTCGGATTGGTAACACTAAAATTCCCAGGGTCACTGGAAGATATAATGGCTTATATAGGAAGATGGAGGTTTTTTTAGCCTTGGAGATTTTACATTCACATTTAGTTTAGAACATATAAGAGCATCGAGAGAAATAGGAAACATCCTCACATAAATATTATTTAAACTGTCCATTTATGTTACATGCCTTGTTGAAGAATGTTTTACCTTTTGATTATTTTCAGTTCAGTTTAACTTATATAGCACCTATTCACCACATATGTTACCTCAAGGCCCTTTAGATAGTATGATGAAAATGTTGGGGGGAAATAAGTACACAGAGATACCCAACGAATCTAGAGTTACCTTGAATTTCCTTTGTGCAAGTGTGAGTACTTTATTCCTATCAGGTGCCTCTTTTATGATCGTAATATATATATTGTTGTTAGTGCAAATCATGCAGCCGTGGATGAGTCAAGAAATATTTTTGAATGACTTTATTTTTTAATAAACTTTTGTTTCGACCTGAATGACAGATTGTAAATGGGGAAAAAATAATAAGTCATGGCTAGAGATGCACTCTATACATTATATTTTCTTGCATTGTGCCCAGTCAGCTCTAAAAGCCAATGTTCAGTAGATGAAGTATTCACTCAAATCTTATCTTGTCACTTGATGTTTTCACTGCGTATCAGCGACAAAGAGATGGCAAAGTTTGGCACTAGTTTTCTCATCTCTGCTGTAGTTGATTGCAGTTATTTGCTCTCAGTTGCCAAGTGTGTGAATTGTTTGACATAACATAGGCAGTTTTGTATCTTCATCTGTCCTCCACGGAGGTGAAACACATCCCAAACCTTGCAGTCTGTCTCCTCAGATTCAAACACTACTACTATAAGTGCTTCACGTGTTCAAACTTCGCCGCCTGTCCTGCGTTTCTCATTGTCATAGCTTGTATGTCTCAGCCTATGTTTTGGTCCCTGCAGGCTACGGCTTTGTTGACTTTGACAGTCCAGCCTCAGCTCAGAAGGCGGTGACGGCACTGAAGGCTGGTGGAGTTCAGGCTCAGATGGCCAAGGTAAGAACCGAACTTGAGGTGTCGGTGTTTGGTGGGTTTGCTTCCAAAAACTCGGCCTCAGCTCAATTTAGCACGGAATTTGACAGCGTCACGGCAAAAAGTTGAATAATGAATCTATTAATTCATTAAAAGGTGAGTCATTAACCTTGCAGCAAGAGAGGTTGCTGTCTCCGGCTCGTTCTCCTTCTCACCTTATCCCCGTGTTTTCTCAATCTGTTGTTATAAGGGTTTATGAATATAAGCCAATTAAGCCCTCAAATTGTTGGTGGATTTGTGCATGTGTGTTTGCTGTTTGGCGCACTGTATGGGTGTAAATCAGTGTCTTTAATACACTGTAGAATGCAAAAACAGGAGTCCACAGATGCACACAGGTACATGTGTGTTCATAGTGGTGACGGTGTTTGGGGAGCATGTCCCAGGGTCTGCTCTCTGAGCTCCCCGCACAAAGGACCTGTCTGTTCTCCCTAGTGGCATCTGACTCAGTGTCTGAGCAGCTCCCCAGTCAGCAGGGCACCGTGCCCAGCCACCCGCCCTGTCAACGCACAACCAGCACACACACACACACACACACAGCACACTTGACACTCACACATGCACTTCACCAGCCTTGCCTCAACCGGATTATGACACACACACACACACTCCGCCGACACGCACGCCACCAACACCCTGGGAAAGCTGATCTCTCGTTAAGCTGGATCACTGACATTCATACGGCTTCTTGCTCGCGAAATAACTTGATTTCATTCACCCCCTTCAATCCGGGGTTGCGACAAGGCTGGTGTTTGCGTCAGCTTTCTCTCTGACTCATTCTGACTCACGCACAGTCAAAATCCACAGCAGGGCTTCCCGGCTCGCTCCTCATGGAGCTCAAGCTTCTTCTTCTTGGTTAGTTTTGCGCTGGCGTGAGGGAGAAGGAAGCAGAGGAGGACGGTGAAGGAGAAATCACCTTCATCACAGGTCACAGTGATTACACATGCATTATTCATAGGATGGAAATTAACTCACACTGCATTTACAGATTTTTAATCACATCTGCACTCCGAGACAATGAATATGCATAATGGTTAGAGGGGGGTACAGATTGGTTATCTTACAGGATACTGTTGTTCAAATTAAATTTGTTTGAGCAGAGCGCAGAGAAAAGAAGAAAAAAATTGTTATACAGCATAAAACGAAACTATGGCACTTTATAAGTCTCTTTGGGTGTGTTTTTTTATTCAGATCCGGGGGAGCTGCATAATTTTTCTGTTTTATAAAAGCTGACAGAGCGAGCCTCTGTGTCTGCATTCAAGGTCAGGATTACCGCATGAATATAACGCCTTGAATGCTAGTGACATATTATTACTATGATCTGGGAAACAGGATGATAATATTTTCCCGGTGGGGGGTGGGAGATGATAGCACAATGCTTTAGATGTTCTTCAGATAGTTTCTAAAGGTCTTTGTCCAAAATGTCAATGCCGTGCTCCCTCTCTCTCTCCGTCAAGAGAGAGCACATAATCGTTTTAGATCATCCAGGGATGGAGAGCCATATGAAATGTAATTATGCTTTGATATCACATTACCTGAATCATGCACCTTCATCCTCTTAAGAGGCAGGTCTCACAATGGCCTATTTTTTTACCCATTTGGTAATAACACATGAGTGACAGGAGATGAGAGAAGAGTTTAAAGGAGAGAGAAAAAAAAAGGCAATTCTGATGAATAAAAGTAGAAGAGACAGAGATGGAGACTCAAAGGTCTGAGGGTGGAGGGTGCTGAGTGTTGTGCAGATTAGATTTGTGTTTTGAGAGATAAAACTGACTTAAAATGACAGTTCCAGCTCGAATGTTTTCTCGACTGTCTCTGTTTTCTCTTCAGAACTCATCCATGCAGCTCAGTTTCTCTCACAAGGGCAAAATTAAATTCAGCTTTTTTCTTTTTTTGTTAACTGTTTAATGTCCTCCATCTTCCACCCTTCCTCATATCAGACACCTCAAATGCTTCCTGTTAAATGTACATTTCCTCATACTATTGCCGGCAGATTTCGAAGGCTGTCGATGTGTTTGATAATGTCACGGTGGTCATTCAGTTACGAGGAAACGAAGGGCTCCGTCTAGTCCGTGTCCCTCCTTCATTAATGCTCTTCTGGATTCTCTCTGGTCAGCAACAGGAGCAGGACCCCACCAACTTGTACATCTCCAACCTGCCGCTGTCCATGGACGAGCAGGAGCTGGAGAACATGCTGAAGCCCTTCAGTCAGGCCATTTCCACACGCATCCTCCGTGACGCCAATGGAACCAGCCGAGGAGTGGGCTTTGCCAGGTATTTAGCAGGACGGCTAGTTGAAGCTGAGTAGCGGCCATGCGGGCTCATCTGTTTTGAAAATTCAATTTCAAACATCAGCACTGAAGTTACAGATCCACTTTGTATTTATCATGGCGAGTGAGCCCTCTGGTGGCCGTTAAAGATAGAACTCAAAGCAGCCAAAGCTCACCTGCAACAGCGACTGTTTTAATACAACATGGCTTTTCTTTCTCTAGGATGGAGTCAACAGAGAAATGTGAGGCCATTATCCAACATTTCAATGGGAAATATATCAAGACTCCACCCGGAGTTCCAGGTGAGTTTTTAGTTTGATCAACTTTTAAACCAAGTTACAGCCCAAAGAGATGGTCTAATCCAAAGAGTTTTGCTTTAATAAAACTGAATATTATCGCTTACGGTGTTTTCTGCTATTGAAAATTCCTGGTGCAGTGCCATCAGAACCTTTGCTGTGTAAATTTGCTGATGGAGGCCAGAAGAAGCGTCAGAGCCAAGGAAAATATCTGCAGAACGGTCGGCCCTGGACAAGAGACGGGGAGACTGTGAGTTTGTGATTTTTTAAAAAACTCTTTTTCAACTCTGCTAAGACAGTTTTCATCCTCATAATGATGCACTCTTGTCTTTTTTTTTCCCTCAGGGAGGAATGACCCTCACTTATGACCCCACCACAGCCTTACAGAATGGGTCAGTACTGCTACATCTCCTGTACAGCCAGGAGGGGGAAGTGGGGTTATTAATACTTTTGTGTCTCTTTCTGCAGGTTCTACTCCTCTCCCTATAGCATCGCCCCCAATCGGATGATGGGGCCAACCTCCCTCTCCCCATATATGCATTCACCTGTGTCCACCTATCAGGTATGGGGTAGATTCTGAAAATTGTGAAACCAAAAAAAAAAAACGAAATTCCCTGGCTTTACTTCTCTTTTTTATGAGAAGATTTTTTTTGGGTGGGGGAGGTATTTTGATCTGTATATATTTTTACGCCTTGACATGTCTTCCCACAGGTACATAACCCATCCTGGATACATCACCAGTCATACATAATGCCGCCCACAGTGAGTATCTTGAATCCTAAAGCTGCTGCTGGTCTTTATTCCCCGTCTCAGTCGAAACCTCTTAATATTCCGCTGCCTTCACACTCTGTCAGGCTGCCGTCAATGCTCTGTCTGACTCTGTTCCTTACCAACAGTGCCTTTGTCCCAGTGGTGAGCGCTAAAAAAAAACAAAAAAAAACCCATTGAATGTTTTGCACAGGGAGCAGTCCTGACACCCGGAATGGACCACACCATGTCCATCCAGCCAACCTCGATGATTGGGCCCCTGACACAGCAGCTCAGCCACCTTTCTATGGGCAGCAGCGGCACAGTGAGTAGAGAATAGATTATTTAGTATTGAGCCATTTAACTGTTAAAGCTGTGCTACACAACTCGTGACTCCCAGTGACAGCTGTTGTGGGTAAACTGCACAAAGCACCGTCATGTCTACCAAACTGACCAGTCGGAGATGGAAAAGAAATTATGCCTGTGGAGAGCTTCTCCACTCTGAAATCCTCAGGGTTGGAGATGATAGACTTTGAAATCAAAAGGGTTGATTTGCATGGGATCTCCCTTTGGGGTTGCAGCTCCCCTTTCTAATTTTGTCTGATAAAGACAGTTTCATGCAGCTTTATTTGCCACTTCAGCTGCCATGTCTTATTAACTTATCATATCCGTTCTCCTCCAGTATATGCCTACAAACACATCTATGCAGGGGACCTACATGCCCCAGTACACCCAAGTGCCTGCCACCAACATCTCAGTTGAGGTAATGACCTCTGTTTTTGCCCACTGGAACAAGTTTAAGCGCTATAACGTCGTGTCAAACGATCACTCTTGCTGCCTCTCTCTCAGGAAAGTGCCGTCCAACAACCTGTTGCCATAGAGACACCCACAGAACACACAACCTACTCCTACCAGCATAACAAGTGAAGAGGTGGGTTTTGATTGTTGCTGGCTTTTTTTTTTTTTTTGCACCTCTGCACGCATCTTAGTCCAAAACATTTATTTTTTTTTCTCTCACTATGATGTGACTGCAGAAAGAGACTGTGCCGGGGCCTCTTGTTTCTAATTGGCCGCTCTTGTCACCCCGTGTCAGATCTTCCTCTGGAGCCGGAGTGATTCTCAAAGGGGCCCAAGTGCTGAAACTCACCATAGTGATGCTGCACCTAAGGCACCAGGCACTCGGGAGGAACCGTTCCACAGAAAGGACACACACACACACACACACATAGACACACACACACACACACACAAAAAAAGATATTTTCTATAAACTCATATTTTAAAAAGAACTCTTTTACTCCAAACAAAGCAAAGCTGGAGGGGAGCAGGCAGTGGGAAATGGAGGAACAGAACAAGGAGCATCTATTTTGATAACAGTCACACACACACACTACACATTTAAACAGTTTTCATATTCTTTTGTAATACTTCTCCAGGGAGCTAGAATGAAACCAGGAAAAGAACATTTCAACACCATGTTTTATTTTGAGTCATGTTTTTGTTTTGACCTTTTTTGTAAGATATGCTGATTTTACTTCTCTTTTTGTTGTTTTTTGTGTTTTTTTGTCTGATACTTTCAGGCTTTGAACCTGCCTTTTTTGTACATAATTCTTTGTTTCGGTGTGTATCTACCTTCACGTGTCCTACTTTGATTGATCGGTGCAAATATTTCAATACAGAAAAACCTGAAGTCCTTCAAAAAGCTGATGACTCACATTGTAAACCGATATGGTGCTGACTTGTATTAGCTTCTTTTGAAGGGGCAGCAAGTTTATCAGGTATGAAATCTTACCTGTAATGGTCTCATTTCTTTTTTTGGCACTTGATTCTCAAATGAATAATTTATAGTTCCAACAATCTCGACGAAGCTTCAGACAATCAGGAGATTACTCTACAGAGACGTTTTTGGATGGTGGTCATCAGTGGCAGATCTCACAGAGCAGATTTCTTTAAAAGAGATAAATGGATTTAATGCATTCCAGATGTTACTATCAGACAGTTTGAAACATTGGTTCACTTTGAACTGCTCCTCGCAATGAAATCCAAAGTTGCTTAACAGGGATCACATCTCACACACAGCTGCCTGTAAATAAGAGATTTAAATTTATTCAGGCTTTCTCTTGATTTCCTTTTTTTTTCTTCTTCTTCTTTTAATCCGTGAAGTAAAGCTTCAGTTATTTTAATAACTACATTATACCAAATGGTCTGGACATAGCAGTTTATGCGTTGCTGTGTTAACTGGTGTTTCTTGTATCCCTTTTATAAAAGGGGAAGCTGACTCTCCACCGAATCCCAAAAATGTATTTTCTGAAGCAAAAAAAAATTGTTGTTATTTAAGTATGAAGTTTTTAGATATGGAGATCAACTGGTAAAGCATGGCTCTGCCCTGTTATATCTTCAGAAAACACTATTTAGGAGGATAATTATGGCCAGGATAGAGACGCTTTAATACTGGCCATTGCTGTGTGTTTGCATCTACTTCTGCATTTCTGATTTTCACCTTCATGTTTTTTTTTTTTACATTTGTTATTTAAAGGTTTTTTTGTTTTTTAAAATTCTGTTTTAATACTTTTAAGATTGATCCTATTTTTCAAAGAAGCTTTGATTTTATTTTTGATAGTGTGTTGTGTGCTTCAAATAGTGAGAAATAGACTTTTTTTTTTCTTTTCTTTTCTTTTTTTTTAAGTGATTATTTGTATGTTTGCATACTTTTCTTGTTCTGGTTTCAGTGTTGATGTCAAAAGAGGCTTTATTATTTTTTAAGACATTTCAGTTCCGTCTCGTGTCACAAATGTTGGAACTTTATAAACATGACTCCTGTTCATGGATGAAATGTGTATGCTAGGTTCAGATGCATTGTTACAGAGCTGTACCCACAGCAGTTGGGATCAGCGTAAGAGAAATTTATGTTTAAAACCTCGACTTACCTCATCCTGCCAGAGCGACGTAGATTCAGTTTGTGTACAAGGTTTCACAGGCAATAACCAACTACAGTAGGTCTCATGGCTGTTCACAGCTGGTACTGTGTCCACATCCTTTAACTCTTCCGTCCAATGTTCGGAAAACACGCCCAAGGTCTGATGATCTATGCAATTAATTTATTATCCTTATAAATGCAATACTACAAATATCCAAGAGACACCTCATATTATGACAGTGGATCACCTCACACGTAAACATTCAGGCTCGCGTGGCTTTCGTCTTTCATTATAAATACGTTGAGATTGTTTTTGTTTGTTTTCTGACACATGCATCCTTGGTTCATTACTTGTTAGTGAAATTACTACATTAAAAGGGAACTATTTCATACCAAAATGTGGTTGTTAATATTATCGTGGGAAATGTATGAACTCTAAAAAAAAGAAAAAAGATGATGGCAGGTCTGGTTTTTTTTTTTTTTTTGCATATTACCAAAATGTGGTTGTTAATATTATCGTGGGAAATGTATGAACTCTAAAAAAAAGAAAAAAGATGATGGCAGGTCTGTTTTTTTTTTTTTTTTGCATATTAAGTCAGGCTTTGTTCAACTTTTTTTTTTTTTTTTTAACATCAACACCATAGGGTTGCTTTAGATGTGATTCACCATTCCATCCAGTTTCAGTTTCGTGTCCCACCTCGTCCTGTTTGTTAACTTACTTTGAAGCTGTTTTTCTTTCTTCTAAAACCCATGAAACTTTCATTTCTAGGAGAAAATTAAAACTTCACAGAAATGCCTTAGATTTCACTGGAAGGGATTGTGAAGTGCAACTCGGTCTTGGTTGGGCTTGACCTCTTGACTGGAATTGATTTCATGCACTGCAAATGTTGTTTTATGAAACTACTCTGAACAGCAAAGCAACATCTATGAAGAAAAGAAATATGTCTGAACTTTTAATCACTATTTTCTGTTCCATTGTCATTCCATAATTTGAAATTCAAAAACTGAGCGGTGGCTTGTTCAGTCTAAATACCTGTTGCTGCTAATTATGGAAGTATTTGAACATCTTTCAGCTGAAGGTCATTCAACATGTCACACATAGGGACAGTTTCTAACTCATGTTCAGCGATGTCCATGAAGTTTTCGGTTTTGTTTTGTGCATCAAACCTTTCCTCAGTAAATGTTTGTGCCATGATGCAGGTCTTCTGTTCCCTTCATAGAAAAAAAAAAAGAAAAAAAAATCCCTACAGCTATTAAACTTTGGTCTGATTTCAAACTTGCCATTTTTTTTTTAATAAATTTTTTTTTCACTGTGTTTCGAGTGCCTTTTATTACACAAGGAACCATTCGCAGGTTATATCTTGTACAAGAGATAATGCACTTCAGTCAAGCCAGGAGACGTACAGGTTCTCTCAGGTTTATCAAAGTATCCAATGTGACCGCTTTATATCAAACTGACTTTGAGGTAAAACACAAACAACTGTCACAATACATGACAATTTATTTCTAATTCGTACTTGAATCTAGATAAAATAGATAAGAAATACGTTTGTTTTTTTTTAGAAAAAAAAAAGTATATTACACTGTAGGCTGTATACGTTTTACTTATGTACAAAGTTCAAAATATACTGAATATGCCCAAAAGTTGCTGCTGAACAAAAAAAGAGACTCTGAGATACATAAAATAGACTTTGACTGTTGTTGGTTTTTTTTACAATCTTATCGAGACTAATGGATAAGAAGAAAATGGCAACCCTTTATTACCCTGCTGTTTTAGGGTGTAACCATTGTGTTACACTTTTAAGTCAATGGCAGAGTAAAACATTCTACTTTCACTATAAATCATACTCTGAGGCAATGTCACGTTTGACTTCTTTTGTGCATTTTCATAAACAAAAAAAAAAGAATCCAGTTTTGGGTGTAATGTTCATATTGTGCAATAAGGCTGCCAGGTGATCAATCAGGGGTTCAATAGAAAAATAACCAGAAACTATTTTGATAATCAGTCTTTGTAACTAATAAGGAGCATTTTTATGAAACGTTTTCCATGTTCAGCTTTATAAATGTGAATATTTTCTGCTTCCACAAACTTACTGTGTCAAACATGAAACAACAAAGATGGCACATTGGCCCTTCTCCCAATTCTGTGGTACTGAACATAAAGTGACTCATCAATTAAGACCACTGTACAGAATAATCAAGTATAATCGCCGGTTGCAGCCCTTTTGCATAAAGAACCAAAACAAACAAACAAAACCTTAAGACGAAGTATCGTGCCCACCTACAGACAGACAGGTTGTAGCCGCAAAATGTCAGTTTTGTGGGTAATCATGTCGTATTGGTAAAGCCAAATTTCCTTTGGACGTTACCAAAGTATCAAACATTTATGCTGACATCAAAATATACAACAATGCAGCATAATATGCTCGTGTAAACAACAAAAACGTCGAACAAGCATTGCATCTCAGAGTATGATTTGTAAGTCGGTACAAGTGTTATTTCAAAAACAGTTCTGGCTGGGCAATATAAAACACGCAGTGTTTCAACTGCTGTACTGATGCTCCACGAGTGCACCGAAAAACAAAGAAGTGGAGAAGAGGACAGGGAGGCAGTGATTGGTGCTCCTGGTGGTTTCTGATCTGTCTGATCGGAGCTGGTGTGCAAGTCTTTCCCAGAATAAGGACGACTGTCAATGCATCCTCCTGGTGAATGTAGCTCAACCTTCATCGCGACTTTGTGAGCCAGCTGTACAAGTTCATAACTGTCTCCTTAACATCACAACAGCTTGTGGTTCACAAGCTCCCAAACCATCCGTCTCCTGAAGTAGGGCATGTGTTTCTGTCCATAAGAGAAGAGAGGTTAGGCATTTTTAAGCCACTTTAAAGACCATTTACTGGATGAGTCTTATTTGTGGATGACGTCTTTGCTTACCTGTGTGAACGTGATTGGCTTGTCTTTGGTAATGTAATCTGCATATTTGCATGTGAACATTCCACAGTCGCTACCATTCATCTGCTGTGGGATTTCCTGAGAGCAAAGGAGGAATGTACATGTTAACTAAAGTTTGATGTGAACTCTTGATTAACCAGCAGATCATTCATGATTTATTATTTATACCTCACGCGCACCTACGTGAGTCGTTGCCCTGGGCATTTTATATTCTTTATCACTTGTGGGCTAGCATAGCTCAGGCTTGTGACAGCAATGTGAATTTGCAACGTTAGTCACTTGAAACGTGATTTGGGAGTGTCACCGAGTGGAGAGAAAATATATCCTATCACCCAGTGCAAATGGGTGTTTTTGTTTTTTGGTTTTTTTTTTTTTGCTTTTTTCTATCTGTGTGAAAAGCTCTTCTCCACCATGAACTTTAATAAGTCAAAGTGCAGCTCCAAACTTACTGATGAGCATCTTCAAGCCATACTGAGGGTCTCAATTGCTTTCTCCCTGAAGCCAAATGTGGCTCAGCTGTGTAAGAGGAAGCACTGCCAGGTCTCTGGCAGCAAGGAGTAGGTAAGAGAAGCCTATGTTCTGAAGAACCTTTCATGTTCTGAATTGTTTTTAATAAAGATTGAGATGATGGGCTCACTTGTACTTTTTCTGGAATACTTGAAACCCTTTCTTTGTGGAATACTTGATGCTGCCCAGCCTCACCCAGACTCTTATCTCCAGCGGCCCCCAGGTAAGTTGAGTTTGAGACCCCCAGTTAAATTTTTGGTCCATCACTACTTTGCAATTGAATGTTAGTAATGAGGAACTTAATGAAGGCTTAACACATAACTTGGCTATGGAGGTATAACAACCTGGTGCAACTAAATGCAAAACGTTACATAGTATAATTAAAATAAATTCACTCGTAACCATGGTGCTGTAACAATGTGACGCAATTTGGAAAAGTTAACCAGGGATGGAGGCTCTATTAACTCCAAGAGCAATCATCTGGAATCTCAGTTGATAATTAACACCCATCCAGAATTCCTAACTACATGCATTCAGCGTGAAACAAAGAAAGCAGGCAGCTTGATGTTTTGACCGTCATGTGTTCACAACTTACGTTGCGCTTTTTGCTGTGCAGCGTCCAGCCTGAGGTATCCAGTTCTTTGCCCTTCTTGTCCTTACTTTCCTGTTGCAGGTATTCACTGGGGAAACAAAATTCACTTCTTTGGTTTTCACTTAAATGACTAATGAAAATCAGTGTGTAGGAGTAACATCTAGCTCTCCAAACATATATCCCATTCAACAAACCACATAACACGGAAACTTACAACAATGTTTCGCAAGCTTCGTCATTGTTTCCTCCCATAGAATCAAAGTACATGATGGCTTTTTTGCGGAAATCCACAACCTGAGAAAAACAGTAGAACAATTTTTAAAAACGCTACATTAATCCCACGACAGGCACTTCTAGGTTCACAATTCTAGTCATTAGGACTTACAGAGAGGCACCAGTGCACCCCCAAGTGGACAGGAACCAACAGGATGTCTTTAGAAAAGATGTCCATCTTTTTGGTCCAACGGCGAACAGCAGAGTAGCCGCTGCTGTGTAGCTTAGGATAGAAAAACGTGTTGAACGTATTGACTGATGGCAGGCTGGGGTCTTTGCTGCGCTCAACCAGCATGTTCATGTAAAAGTTGATGACCTGAGAAATGAGAAAGAAATCGTTTAAATTAAGTGGACGAGCAGCACTGCACAGACCAGATGGGCAACAGTTTTTATAAGTAAAAAAATAAATAAGCCACGGTCACATAATTTGACATAATGTTTGGAAAATCAAAATAATGTCCATGTGATACAATAATAACGCCTGCTGACAATTCACACACAAAGATCTACGGCAACTTTTAGAGTTCAACTTGAATAGAAGATGCACCGACCTCATCGTTGAGCCAGTTGAGGTTGCTGAGGGTTTGCAGGTCTTTACGTGTAAGGCTGAGACAAAATCCTTCACTTAATACTTCATGAGGACTACCGCCTCTCAGCACCCTGTTTACCTCAACCTCCATTTCCTTAACAGAAAGAGCGTGACAACATACACATGAGATAGCATGAAACATTAACTTTACCCTTATACTCTATATTCATTTGGTCAAAAAACAACAAAAGGCAGACGACATGCAGAAACAAGAAACATCACTTGTACCACTGCATTATTCTGAATTCTGATATTTTAATTATGTCTGATCTTAGAAACTTAAGGAAAGGACTTGGAGGCACAAGAAAATTAACAACTACACATCAAAGCATCAATTAGGCTAACAATTCCTCATCCTTTACTTTCAACTATATTTTTACTTTTTAAAAAGGAACACAAACATAATCTTCTATGTGACTCTATTCTAGTGGGCCATCTAGGTAAATAAACAGGAAACACTGCAAGAACATGAAAGTACAATGACCATACCTCTGTGAGTTCAGGGAATTCTGGTTTCTCATCCAAAGGCTTCGCTTCTTCAATCACAAGAGTCAGAGGAACCTCTTTCTCCAACGGAACTCGAACGTGGACCTCCACATCTCGACTACGTTGCCCCTCTTCAGACAGGCGCTGAGAGCCAGAAATGACATGACTCATAAATGCAGCAATGGGAGAAATAATGAACAGGATCAAAGTGAAGCTGAAAGAGGGCTACAGTGGGGAGCGCTCACCTGTCGCAGCAGCAGGGCAGCCAGGGCCTCCTGCTCTTCTATCTGTCTCCGTCTTTTTCTTGCCCGGGAGTCATACAAACTTGTCCTACAGCGACAAAAATACATGTTTTCTCCTTGCTCTATTTAAATGTGATATCAGATAAAAATGGATTAATTATGCGAATAAATGCTTTAAAGTGCACTTACAATTCTTTGATCCATAACTCAGCTTGGAAACATGGCACACTGTAAAGACAGACAAACATATTGTTGTGTATTAAGATAAAATTACACTTGCATAGTTTCTCCTACACGCCAACTTAGGCCTGGGTGATAAAATGAGATATGTGGCAATGATAGAAACCCTATAAAAGACAACAAGAAAATGTTTCAATTGTTTGCTAGTTTCACTGAAATGCAAACTGCCACAAAAGCTCCTGCGCCCTCCCTGGCTCACACAGAGGCTCGAGCAGGGATCTGTTCTTGGACTGGAGTTTTAGTCTTTTGACAAAAATGTGTTTTCGTTTCAATCAAATTTTATTAGTTTTAGTCTCGTCATTAAAACTAGAATGACTTTAGTCAAGTCTTCCTCAGTGGCGTTTTGGTTACTTTGAGGCTACACCTGTAGCCGTCTGTGTGTATGTTTGCCGTTGTTACACTTCATTCTCGACGGTGATGTTAGTAGAAAATGCTCAGTGTCAGTGGTCCTCTGTGGTGACACGGCAAACTCCACAGTAAATCTAGTTAATGTTATCATCCCCAAACTCTTAAACACTCTCTTTCTTTCTGTTTGTACTGCAAACCAAGCATTAGCATAATCACAACGCCATTATCTCTCCACTGAATAGTAGCAGCTCATTCAGTGGATGAATCACTCACTTGTGTACTAAAATCCTGTTCACTCTCTGGGTCAGCTTGAGAAAAAGATACTAAACGGTAAAGTAACATTAATACAGTTAACCTACAGTGTGTCTTTAGCGAACATCTAGAGGGCCAAATTTAATCCTGGAACTTTATCATCCCTCCTTACATGAAATTTGTCTGCAGGGCACCATCAAGGTTTGCTCTAAAATCATTGGAATCCCACTCAGAGTACTTTGCACCCTGTGTGAGCATCTACTGAGTGAGAGAAATTTTGGAAGGTGGGGAAAAAACTTTGACCTGGAGCTGCAGCGTGCGATTCCAGATTCTGCAGCTCACTGAAAAATCCTCTGCATCAAAACAGTCATGAGTTCCTGTATCCACTCATCAATCTTGAACATAATTGTTTCAATTTTATTAGCCAAAAAAAAAAAAGAGTAAAATGTTCCACATAGTTCCCATATTGAACAATTATTTTTTATTTAGTTTTTGTTGAGAAAAGTAGGTCATCCACAAATATTTTTTGTCAAGGTTTTTGTAAATAGATTAACACGATCCTCAGTGTGGGGAAGTTTCTTTGCCCTGGTTGTCCTCTGTGCACCTCTGGATTTACGTACTTTTATTTCATGTGTATCGAGCTGAATTCATCCCTTTATCCTCATTATTTTTATATGTGTGCAAATCTATTTTTGTGTGTTTTCTGTTGTGTTAACATTAAAATTATCACCTATATATATGTTAATAAATACACTTTAGGGGGTAAATTCAAAGATAGTTAAATTCAAATCAAGCCTTTTTTTCCCCTCCTAGTCTTTTGGTCAATAAAATGCAATAATTATTATGAATAGATGAAGTATTTTACTGTCTCAATAGATTTTGATATATTGCCCAGTCCTACTGCAACTACATGTATACATCAATAAATCATGTAACAATGTGAAATGTTTAGATGTCTATGTCTCTGAATCTGCTTGTATAATGTTTAATCAAATTAGGCTTAAAAGTTTGACAAACAGCAATAAAAAAGGACTTATCATAAAATAATGTGAAGAATGAAAGATCAACTCTGACTGAAATCAAATACTAACCTGGAGTTGTCTTGCTTTTTGCCTTTTTGTTCATTTACAATAATTACAGAGTCACCATCATGAGCTGCAAGAAAAGACAAAGAGGTTTCAACCAACGAAAACAAGAAAATACTCAGTTCACTTATACGTTATTTCCAGCTATTGAAATTCCCAGCATGTGTACATGCATATATACATTACCTGATGACTGTGTGTCCTGAGAGGAGTTATCCTGCAGAGCTGATGGAGAAGGAACTGATGTGAGAGTAGCTGCTCTGCTTGAGCTGAGGTCCGTGTCCAGAGACCACGTCTGGATCCCTGGCTTGCTGGAGGCCCCCAGTGGGCTGGGAAGGTTGCTGGAGCACTGGCTAGATACTCCCCTGGGGCTGGAGGGGCTGCTGGGACCTTCTGAAGTTCCTTCTGCTGCTGACCCATCTGGGGAAGAGAACTGCAGCAGTCTGCGGCTGGTGGTCAGGAAGCTGGTGCTGGTGAGACAACGACATAGGGACAACATGATCGTAGACATCATCTAGACAAAGTTCAGCAGAGAGGTTAAAAGCAGTAAAGAGGAACAATCAATTGTTCCTAACTTGCCAATTCCAGCTACAAAGAATATGGCAAAGCGCTGAAAATAGTTAAATAATGCTGTGGGACGAGTTTGACCTTTGTTTATGTATTATTGATCATGTCTGCCCAAAAAGTACCGGCACTTTTAAAATTTCTGCTAACTTCATGCATGTAAAAACTTTTTTAATGGGTCAATCCATGCTATGCAGAATGACTCATTCATAGAAAAACTAGCTTTTATGCTTCTGGAGCCCCCTACTAACATGTGCCTTAATTCTGACGATACTCCTGTATTGCCACATCTTGTTTCCCAGTATGTATTTCATTAAACCTTGAAAAAGGGTAAGTATCTTGTATTTGTTTAGATACGTACAAATCTCTGTGTGACCTCACAATAGTGTGTGAGCTGCCATTCTGAAGGAAAGACTGACCACCAGAGACCATGGTCAGAAGCTGCCTGTAGACCTCCTTCTCCTCCTCACGAACAGACTGTGAAACACAGAACAGTCGTATTAACACACACAGACATGCAGCAAATGAAAAAGAAAATTAGAGATCACATGATGCCTTATTGTCTTGATGTTTGACCTCTTGTGCTGTGCACCGGGGCCTGGTCCTGTGTAAGCGGGCTGATGAGGTGCTGTGTGTTGGGCTCTGCACCACTTTGATGGGAAAGGTCTTCTCATACATGCTGGTGGTGGAGCTGCTTGTTGTGCCCATTCCTCCCAACACACTGCAAACACAGGTTGGTAATCAAAAATCATCAACTGACAATAGTTCACACCTTATAATAATAACACCCGTAACAAAAAGCAATTAATGAAACAGGTTATTTTCTCGAGGCACAAACAAGATGTAAAGGAATACCTTGGTGGGACGTATGGTCGAAGGTTTAGGGGCCTGCCTAGCCTTGGAGAAGAGTGCAATTTGGGAGCGACGGAGGGTGGCAAGTTGACCGAGTGCCCGTTCGTTTTTGGCGCCTCACGATGTGTAGGACTCATGCACACTTGTCGTCTACAGACTTTGGATCCCACAATGGACTTCTCATTACGCAACCACTCTACAATTACAGAAAAAGTAAACGGTACAATAACTATCTCAGCTCCAAAAGATCAAACCCTACACAGATTTGAACAACTTTAACCCTCAAATGCATACTTCAGGAAATATACTACATACTGTCTCATTCATTCATTCTGTTCAGTGAAATGACAATAGCACTCAGGCATTGCTATTCTTCATACAATAGTCTGTCACAGTAACAAGATGTCAACACAGCTGGTTTACAAGCTTAGTTCATAGCAGCCTTTAATTTCGTAACAGAGTATTGTGACAGCTGTGCAAATGAAGATGTACTTGAGGGCTGTGATGACGACCAGTCGGTTCTCTGAGCCATTCATGAATCAGATGATTTAAAAGCACAACTGGAGCATGAAAATTACAGAGCCACTCAGAGTGCATATTGTCCGATACGGCTAAGAGAAGTTAAGACTAATGATGAAAGAAAAACAAAAAGAATAAACACCTCAAAAGTCATGTATGGAAATATTTAGTGTCTGAGGCGCTGATCAGGGACCAGTTATAAATGACCAAACGCCAGAATGCAAATGACGTCACACAGCATTTAAAGGAGGAAACGATTCAAACTTATCCAAGCATCTAAAAAACAAGACATCCAGATCTGTAGTTCCTCTTAGTTTTTATGCTATGGTAACAACATTGGTATTGAGAATTGTATAATTTCCATTTATTAGCAATAACTGCCAAATTTCTGGTACCATGACATCCCTACTTTGGGCTGATTACTTCAACTGACATGACACTGCAAATTACAACTTGGGAAACCAACTGATCTCACAAGCGTGCACTGAACCGGAAAACATTGCCATTCGAAATGTTTTGGCTACAAATTTAGAAAGACAGGGGTTGCCATAACTTCTAAAACCTAACAAGCCTGTAATCTTTCCAGAATCTAAACTGCTACACCTCAAAAACACTTGAGATGCTACCTGTGGTCATCTGTGATTGACCTTAATACAGTGGAGCAATTTAAATGTTGCATAATAAAACATGGACATGTGACTGTGATTAGCGATTACTGTGCTGACTAAATTTTGTTGGGTATATGTTTGTCTATTAAAATATAATGAGCTGTGTGCAAGATAAGGGATTACAAACATGAAATATATTAGTCCTCACCAAAACATTAGCATTGAAAAAACTCTTACGTCTACAAATAATATAAGAAACACATTAGTTTATGTATGTTTCTGTTCATATTGTTTTCTGAAAAGATGACTAGCAAACAAATCTTTAATATATGGCTTAATTAACTTCTATAATTGCCAGGCTACTGGCGAGCCAAGGTATCCAGTAGTTCCTGAAAAATAACCCATGAATTTGACAGACGATGCAAAAGCTTTGGCAACGCTTTAAACGCTTCAATCTTACCTGATTTGGATGTTTTCCACTCCAACGTTGTCGAGGGAGCAGCAAACGTCTCACCCAGAGAATTCCTGTCAACAATCTTAAACCAAAGACACGTGCACCACATGTAAATTAAAGTCAAAGCTGTTTTGACAGTGTTTACAGTGAAGCCTTAAAAAAAAAAAAAAAAAAACATTTCTTACCGGCCTCCCTGTCCAGACTGCTGCTGAAGTTGAGGGCTGTGGCTGAGGCTCTCCAGGTGGTGGACCAGGGGAGGTAGGCAGTATATTTCTTAAGGTAGGACTGACATTGTTCCTCATCCATGTAGCCACACTGGAACTATGGCTCTTAACCCCTTCAGCTGCACTCTTGACTGTGTCAATAAGATCCCCTGCAGAAAATCCAACAGACAGGTGTCTTACAAACGCACCACTGATTAAACTGTATTCACCGCTACGTGCACCATATAAGTAACAAAGAGAATGATTTTTGGAATTACCCATTCGTGATCTCTTTATCATTAAGCCATCTTGGTCGATTTCATGGCCATCTTCCAAACTTAAGGGGGAAAAAAAGATTGACGGTAGTCTGTTAATAACACACTATATCAATTTCGCCAAAGTACAAATAACCACAAAATGATAAGCGACTCAAATTACTGCGGTCCCACAGTGACGGTAGTTATGTTAGCTCATTAAATCAAGAAGGTGGGTTTGATTCTGTGTGTTTCTAAACACAGTGGCATCTGCTTACAAAAGGGAATCATACTTTCACAGCTCGTACCATTCAATTGGTCTTTTCCTCCTCACTTGACCATCTCTCGCAGCCCGGTGTGCATGTGAGTGCTCCGCAGCTGGTACACCATTGCGAAGATTGGCAAAGCTCGTTTCTATCCATTCGTAGATTTTATTCAACATGGCTCAAAAGTTTTAGAAATAACGCCGCTGGTTTAAAGATAAATCGCTAAAGCTGCTTTCAGGCTACCTGTCAATATAGTCAAACCAAATTAAGCTAATGTGCTTCATTCGACTGATATAGGTTAGCGGAGGCTGTTTCAAAGGCGAAAACTCCTCGCAAACACCAATTTACTGTCCCAAGATTACAACTAACCGTTAGCTAGTTAGCTTAGAATTAGCTAGCTGTCTAGCTAGCACATTACGCTAACTACCTTGCTAGCTAACGTTGTTAGCTACACGGCTAATTTATGAAAGTGTGTTTAAATTCCAACGGGGATGCGATAAGTCGCAACCAATGCGTTCGGAAAAACGGCTATCATTTTGAGTCACACCCTAACTCATTTATATGTCCTCAACGTGACTATAAATTCAATATAAACTCGTTGAAGAATAACATCTCCCGCTTCTTCCTCATTCAAAACCACAACATGGCTGAAACAGACGTTCTACCATCGCGCGTTGTGATTGGATGAGTGGATGCTGTAAATCTCAGTGTCTCCACCATTTACTGGCTGATTGCAGACGGGGGAAAGCATTTAATAACGCGTCACATCCGCCGGCATTGACTGTAGACTACAATCAGTCCTTTACCTCGCTTTACCCTATTACAATACGACATTCTTCTTCTTAATATTAGTATTTGTAGAAGTAGAAGTAGTAGTAGTAGTAGTAGTAGTAATAGTAATAGTATGTGCTGTTGTGGTTGTTGTTGTTGTTTTAACAACTAGAAAAATTAGAAAATGTTAGGATTTGTCCTAGGCTGGCCCATAGGGAATATTGGATTCCTTGGGTTTTCTGTGTTTATTTTAATAAGATTAACTCCAGTTTTAAATTTGTCTGGGAAATCTCCATAATTGATAATAATGCAGGATCTTAACTATTTAGTCAGCTAAATTTCTAATTGATTGTTTCTGATTGTTTTTAATTAAATAATAGCCATCTTTATGACACAGACAGCCACTGCGTTCTCAGGGGATTTAATAATTCCCAATTAGGCATAAATCATCTAAGATAGACCTTGCTGAACCCTCATTGGGGAATTTTTCAACTTATCTAAACAGACTTAAAGTATTGATTTCTGTTTGTAACAGCATAGCCTGTATATACAGTATGTGTTCTACAGCAAATATGCAAATCAGAAGAAAAAAAGATGGAAACCTGTTCAGTCTGAAAAATAAAAGCAGCGATATTCTTCATATACCTATTGGCCACATGTTTTTTTTTTGTCTAATGAAAGTTATAAAATACAAAACAGACTGAGGTATGCATCACCCACACAAAGGTTTTTGCAGCAGATGTGTGGCAAGTTGTGGTTGATTTGCAGAGATGACATTAGTTTTCCAGAAAATGTTGCCACAGGTTTGGAAACTTGTTGCAAACGACTTGCAGCCTTCTGGCAATTACAAGAAGTTTTCCACCACTGACACAAATGCTTACCTGTGGTTTTTCACCACAGTTTCCTTGACATGCGAAACATCTCATAACCTTCTTGGTCACAGGTTTGCCATTAGATGGCAACAGCATTTAGCACAAGACATTTCTAGCAGACAGTTGGAGTTTACCTCTGGCAGTGCTGCTGCCAATTTGCAGTCAGGTCATATTTTCATATGCAAATTAGATATGTGGCAAACTTGTAGTGGTCTTCTTGCTAACAAGTGAATCTGAACTCTCATTTGACCTGAGAGATGTACTGAATTATTTTTTTTACAACATTCTCCTGAACTTCTTACATGGGAATTTCACACAAGTAACATGGATGAAATATTTTATTAAATCAGAGAGAACCAGTGACCGCATTCATACACATTCACCCTTTAATTAATACAGCAACACCAATTCTACAATGGAATGCAGGGTGTTCTTAAAATAATATACTACATCAAATAATCAAACGATAGTAATCCAAGGCCACTTTAGAAGACTTAAAAATCATTTAAAGCATTACATTTTCTCTCTTATATCACACACTTTCTGAAATATATCATTCTGTCATAAAAAAATAAACTTTAAATGTCATGAAATACAGCATTCAAGTCCCTCAACAAATGCAGGCCTTATCAAAAGTTACAGAAAATCCATGCATGTATGGCACTGTTATGTTTATATTCAGTATTTGTCACCACTTCTAACCAAGTTTTAAAAATGTTAGGACCAAAAACTGTAATGCAGACAATCAAGGATTGCTCAAACTAAATACCTTCATGAAAAAAAATCAGCTTAAACAATCTCACCGATTTCATGTTAGACAAATGACATACACACAATAAATACTGCAATAACACGAATACAATAACTGGAAGCGTCATAGTTACGTGATCAGAAATCATCATCATGACTGTACAGTATTCAGTGGAAGTCAACAAATCAAGGCAGAGATTCCAAATTAAATAAATAACATTTTTTAGATTGTCATTCAAAACCCAGAAAAGCATGTCCCCTGACCTCAAACTGTTAAAACATGGTGAAGGAGTTTCATGTAATTCACAGTATCAAGACAACATTGGATATGACTGAAAACACAGAAAAATATGTCATTCTTTTAGGCTATTTTAAAGTTCTACTTGTGCTTTCAATCACTAAATAAACACCCACAGCAATAGTCCAAAGATGGAAGGACATAATCAGGGCTTTTTCTAAGAATCATGCAAGATGTACTGTAGATCAAATACTTCCTAGAGAGTATCGACATCTATCTTTTGCTGGAGATTTGTGATACTTATGCAAGCATGGATATGAGACACCCATACAGCTTCACATGGACACTCACGGTATGTTTCATCTAGATTAAATGGCATAAACTCACAGATCAAGAAGTGTATCTGGCTGGTAAAGCTAATAAGCTAACCTATAGTTTGGGCGTCGGGTTCACAAACATGCTGGAGAGGAGGGAAAGATTACTGACATCTTGGGTGTGAATGTTGACAAATGTTGATGTGCATGTATAGCAGTACAAGAGATTCACAAAGTATTCATCACCTCATCAGTATCAGGCAAATAATAAAGCTGCTATAACTGGAAGCATTGTCACCACAACCATTAAAGTTTTAAAAGATTGTTGTCATGTCTGCATAAATTCAGCCCTCATCTGCCGTCTGAACGGTGGCTTTAGTCTCGTTTTGTTCCAAAGATTTGGAGGAAGAAGGAGAAGATATAGATGATATCCAGGTAGATGTTGAGAGTGGCGAAGACGTATTCTTCTGGACTCATAGTGTACCTCTTGTTTCCCATAAGAAGCTGGGTGTCAAATGCCAAAAACTGCAACAGATAATGAAACAGCAAGTAAGACATCTTTTATTTTACTCTACAGCATAGGGTCTGGTACTATGAAGTGTACTCTTACCATGGTGAACAATATGGCTCCCAAAGCAGCATATGTGGCATCCAACCACGGTACCTATTTAGAAAAAAAAAACATTCAAATGTTTGCAGACTAACTAGGACGCACCCTAAATAAATATGTTCTCACCTTAGAGTTGAGTCTTTGTTAGTCTCATGTGACATATTAGGTAGAGTAGAACTTAGATTCAGATTTGATGTACAATACAAACCCAAAGCTTGGACACACACACACTTTCAAGGGTTTTTCTTCCTACTGGACATCCAAACTATGAAATAACTTGTGGAGTTATCTAGTAAACAAAAGGTGCTACATATTGATGCCAGCTTGGCAAACTATTTGCAAACTAGTTTCATCAGGTCACCGCTTGAAATGGTGTACCTTGTTTGAAGATAATTGTTGGAATTTCTTGCCCTCTTATTGCATTTGGGATCAGTTGTGTTATGCCAAGGTAGGACTGATAATCAAAAGGATTTATTCAACTGCTGTAGTAATCCATATTGTAGCTGAAATGGCTCAGTTAAGCAAACAGGAATAATAGTTCATCATTACTTCAAGACATGACGTCTAAAGCTGTCAAGAACTTTGGAAGTGTCTTCAAGCGCAGTTGTAAAAATCATCAGACTGATTCTAATTAGGACCGGTCCCAAAAACGAAGAGTAAATAAACAATTTCATGGTAAAACAATAATCATTTACATTTATTCAAAAGAAATTAAAATACATATTTGTAGCATGTACAGGTGGCTGTATATGTATTCCATTTTTACAGTGATACAGTAAGTTAATAATTGTAGTTCTTGTATTTAAAGTGTGTGGATGATTTAAAATATTTCAATATTTCATTTATGTAAATTTCTACTATGTTGCAATAGGTGACTGTGATCACTGCTTCCCAGTGACTGTGCACCTTCAATCGCTGGAAAGGAAGTGTGGCGAGTTAGTAGGCAGTCAGGCAAAGAGAGTGTAGAGCCATACAGTTTTTTTTTACCTCTGCTTTTTCTCTTATTTTGGAAAATTTGCAAAAGGAAAATCATTTTGTACAAAGTATTTTTGTTGTACGTGAGCTGAAGGGAACAGTTTAACTTTATCAAGTGGTCCTGTGGATTTAATGTGGATTACCCAGGGAGGGACTGTCAGAGCGTCAAGCTGACATCTTCATTAACTGGAGCGTACACCTCTGCTGCAGAGGATTCCAGGTGACAACTTAATGAAGCTGGTTAGGAAAATGTGAAGAGTGTGCAAAAACTGTTTTCACAGCAATAAAAAAAAGGAAAAAACAGTGCTTTGCTTCAACTTTTACACGTTTTTTTGTTTTTTTTTAAAAATACATAATTCCACATGGGTTTTTTCCATTTTGATGTCTTCAGTATTGCTCAATGGTGGAGAAAATAGTAAAAAAAAAAAAAAAAAAAAAGAAAGAAAGAAAAACCCTTTTGTTGAGTGAGGTGTTTACACTTTTGACCGCTACTATCATCGTTTTAAATCCAGATTGTCCTAAAATCCTCCACATTCCAGTTTTACCTAATACACAAAAGATGCAATTATTCGTTTCGCTTGATCATACTCACATATTGAAAAGGAAGGACAATAGCCAGCACCAGTCCAGAGATGAACATCACCATGCAGAAGACAAAGAGCACACCTTGGCATGAGGTCACGTCAAACTGGTGGGAGAAAACACATGAAATACAAATATGTGTGTAAATCAGAAAGCTTAAAAAGGTGATACATGTAAATGATAATAAATCCAAATTCTGCATGTGTGGAATATAAAATACAGGCGGAGAAACACTTTTTTTTTTTCACCTTAGTCTGGAAGCTGAAGACTGTGACCAGGAGACAGACTGCTGCTGTGATGCCCAGACACATCACCACTGACTTTGTGTTATAGAAGCTGTGAAAGAAAAAAAAAAAGCAAGCAAATATAGAAAATGATATACACTGGTATTGTTTCACTGGCACTTCAGTTGGACAGGTCTCCACAAGAACAGACAAGTCTACAGGGTTCAAGTGGAAACTTGATTACCAGACTGTACTGTCAGTTCAATATGTGGTGACTGTCTTATTTATTGTTTTTAGTATTTGTACACAGGAATCTTTTAATTTTGTTGTACCTAGTGTATGATGACAATAAAAGCATTCTATTCTATTCTATTCTATTCTATTCTATTCTATTCTATCTCTGGAACTGGAAGTATTTATACTGAGTGGATCATCCTGATGAAATTGAGTGAGATGACTTGAACCTTACACCTACCGGAAAGAAAATACACAGTTGACTAGTTAACTAAAATCAAAAGCTCTTTCAGCTTAAAAAAAAAAAAAAAAAAGACAATCCGAGGAAGCCATTCAAAGTCACCTTGACAGTTACATGCAACAGTGAACAAAATGAAACTGTACCTGGACAACATCCCTGTCATGTAGGAAAGGGAGAGAGTCTGTAACAGGAAAAGGAACAGTCAAGTTACTATGAAGGCATTTTGTTCAAATATCTTCAGACAGGCCCTGACTGGAGAACCCTTACTTTTACATTCACAAATTAGTTTTTAGATAATTTAACCTCTTGAGATCCGAGCTCCTGTTTGATATGCATTTTTTAAAATAAAATGCAAATAAAATAAAATAAAAAAGTAAAAAAAAATCTTGTG